TCACTTTATAGTTGTCAAACAAAACTTAAGCACCAGATCTCTTACATCATTACGCTCTGATGATGCCTTGACGCTTTCCCTCCTGCATGTGTTCTCTTTTTATTTTGAATCTTCCTTGATTTTACAAGTGGGAGTAATTTCCCCCTAGATGTTTATGTGATTCTGATTTACAAATGTTGAGACCTGTTGGCCTCAGCCTTCAAGACATTTATCAATTAATGTTGCTAAGACCTCAAGAAAACTGTAAAATGGTAAAAGTGAAAATAGGCATTTGAAAAATATTTTCACATAATTTTTCACATTGGTGAACCCGTGTTGGTGTGTGCCATCTCCTTATCAGTATGACTTGCAACAAGGTTGCTATGCTTTTTGAGCTTCCGCCTTGTAAATAGGTGGTTGAGACCATTTAACCAGCTCATGTGTCATAGGGAATGCATTGTATGGAAAATCAATTTTAAAACTGAACAAGAAAAGAAAAAGCAGCAAATAAATTTTAATATGGCACAGAAAATAATGTCAGGCTTGTCATGCTCTAATATAAAGTAAGTCCACATCATGTTTTAAAAATCAAGTCAAATTCTGTTTTCTACCCCAATCTAACTCTTTCAGAAGCTCACATGTCGGTAGGAAGAGGCGGTGAATTATTGCATACAAATGCACCAAAGTAGCTAATTACACTACATTAGAACGATGTAACACCTGGAAAGAGGGTAATGACAGATGGCTAAAGGCTGTAACTGTTTATAAAACCACCATCAGCCACCAAAATTATTTGTTTCCAAAAGAAATATAGTTTGGGAATAAGTAGTTTATATTTTTTAAACTGTTTCTGTACCTATAATAAATTGCAAAATAGCAGGTCCTCTGCCTCTCCCACTGTTCTCCCAAGGGAAATGAGGATAACTAGCAAATTGAACCTGTCATGGGGAGCCCTGCCTACAACTCTGTTGTCAGATGACAAGATGTTTGTCACCATCACCAAACTGTTTCCATGACAAACTTTAGGCAAGCAAGAGTAGTGGGAAGCACTGTCCCTTTGGGATGGCAAAATACTCCATAAGTTGAATATTCTCCCAAATTATATTATTTGTATTAGTTAAGAGAGCAAAATAATGTAACAACCAGGAAGCAAATGTGTGCTCATGTATTTCCTCTCTACCCGCTGAGCAGTGAGGTCAGTACCATAACCCTATACCATTTGCCACTTTTGGGGAGCCCGGAAGGCAATGTGGACACAGGGGTGGTTAATGACCCCCTTTATCAGATAGAATCACTTTTAAGAATCATCAGAAAACAACTCTGAAGGGTCCAGGGTGTCTCATTGTTTATATCCTTTCTCAGGCATTGGACACAATACGGTGTTTATAAATTAGATTCCACTACTCTGTGAGTTAATACAGAAACAAAACAAAACGTCTCTCTGCAGCAAGCTTACTCAAAACAGTACCAAAACAACATTTGCCCATATCAATCTATGTCTGCATTTTTAACTGTTTGCTTACTCCTAGCAAAATAATGTTTTGTTGTCATTCCCAAGTTTCCAAGGTCTGATTATTAAAAAGAAGCAGAAATAGATTAAATATATGCAAGGCAAATTTTGTCAACAAACTTTCAATGTGGATTATAGACAGAGGCCTGGGCATATTAATGATGTGTATTTATAAGAAAAATTATTTCAGGGCCGGGGATTTAGCTCAGTGGTTTCGCCGCCTGGTGTGCAAACTCAAGGACCTGAGTTCGATCCCCAGTACCAAAAAAAGAAAGAAAAATTATTTCATATTTAAGATGAGTATTTTCCCAAAACTGCCACAGTAGATGCATTTCTTCTAAAGGACTTCAACTTTGGCCCGTTATATATCTTGAGTTAATTAATGAGGAACATAAGATATGACACCTAAAGGTACTTGGAAAATTATAGCAGGTACAACTTTATTATACATATTTATTTATGTCTAACCTGTTTCAAGAAAAAAAAGATGAGGACCAGGGATTTAGCTCAGTGCTTCCACCACCTGCCTTGCAAGCGCAAGGTCCCGAGTTCGATCCACGATACCAAAAAAACAAAAAAGAAAGAAAAGATGAGATGACGAATCATGGAAATATGCACAAATAAAAACAAAACGATCAAACAGAAGCCTCAGATAGGATCGCACTAAATGACTGCACTTCCAGGCAGCTAAAGCACAGAGAAATCAAGGTGTTATCTCCTTGCTCTGAGGAGGAAAATACACAAGTGTATATGAGCAGAGGGATTTCCTTCCTGATATTAAACCACAGGAGTGGTTATGTATGAACTTCAGAACAACAAATACTGAATAGCAAGATGGTCAGTGCTTTATTATTGTCCTGAAGATGCTAGAGACACTTTTCTTATAACCATTTTCAAGTGGGGAAACTTGAGAAAGCAAAATTAACTCGTGTCTGTTTCAGAGACCTAAATTAGTGGTGCCGCTCTGACTCAATTGCAGGTTTAGGACAGGCATGAAGACAGCGTATCTGAACAAGGGCTCTGAAGACCATCAGCACCATGATTCTTCAAGGTTCCTTTTCAGAACTGAGGCTTTCTGGACCTCACGCTAGCACTTCTGAGCAGAGCTGGTTCTCTGAGTCCTTGCGAAGGAGCTGCATGGTAAATGGGCCACACATGCTGGGTATCCGGGCTCTCGGGATCGAACCCACCCCTCTATACTGGGCCTGGGGGTCTCAATGAACCACATCTGTCCAGCTGTGATGGCCTCATCCCGGCCCTGCACCCAGGTCCCTGCAGGCCCCCACGAGGGACAGGAGGGGACCACCGCACCTTCCATTGTGTCACAGCCTGTGGGGTTGCCAGAGCCCAGCTGCTCCAGCTGTTTGCAGCAGCAGCTGGTTCCAGTCCCACACCGTGTCCGTCCTGTCCTCAGAAGCAACCCAGGCAGACCGACCATCCAGGAGGGCTCCTCACCTCAGAGGCCAGGACTCTGGCCGGATCCCCCTCAGCCCTCACAGCCTTCCCCTGCTGCCAGGCCTGGGGGTGGCAGCTACTTCCTGCCCTGCTCCTCTCTTTGTGTTTGTTTGGTTCCTTTTTACCTTTCCTGTCCTCCAATACCTGTATAGCCAGTCCCCCATGAAATTCTCTCTTAAAATAATCACTGTGAAATTTTTTTTTCCTGACTAGGACATGACAGATATAAACATTAAATTTTGAGTTTCAGTAACTTGGACAGTTGAGGACACAACCTATCCCCTAAGCTCTCTACTTAAAATTATTTAAACTCTTCTCTTTTGAAACCATTAAATATGAGGCTGGCACCAAGCACTCCAGCCACACGACAGCTTATTGCCTTAAGAAACTTCTAGAAGCTCTAGGATTCAAATGAACTGGTAACAAAGGTGAAATTCTATTCTCAGAAATGAAGAATTCTTAGATGATCTCTTCAGATTCAGAGCTAATCCAGTTCTATATAGAGGTGGCCTACTTAAGAGTCTGTGAGGAGAAAAAAAAATGTTTTTATTTTTTTTTTCAAAAAGATTTTTACTCTTCTTAAGGACATCTATGGGGATGAAGAGCATGCTGTGGTTTTCTGTTAAGGTGGGGCATCCATGGTGCCACACTCAGGCATGTATTCCTGCCTCCGGTCTGCCTGGAGCCTTCGCACACACAGTATCCGGCACAGTGCGTGGGCTGGGGCTCCACACCTGGGGCTGCTTTCATTGCGGCCCTCAGGACTGGCCTGTTTGAAATGCTGTGAGAGCAATTGCTTCACTCACAGACCTATGTCTGGTGCTAAACTCCCAAGCACAGGGCAACAAGCAGGCCTGGGAGTCCCATTTTCACTGGGTTTCGAAAAGCATCTAAGGGTTCGTGAGAGAAATCTGGGGGGCTGCTGGTGGACGGCAGAGCTGTCAGGCTCCTCTCTCCTCTCTGTCCTGCTGGGACCCAGGCCTCTGCCCAAGTAGCCCAGGGAGCTGCTGGCATTGCCACTGCCCACAGAATCTCCAGCACACTGAAGGCAGAAGAAACAGAATAGAAACTGAGGACTATAAATGTTTTCTGCTCCCACTAATCTGTTTGAAAAGTGACTGCATCACTTCAGCAGCACTCTCCTCAGTGGATGTGTAGTGTGAAACGCGTCTTATATAACTGTTCATACATTTACAGGACCTTCATGTAACTTAGACAGGTACCCAAGTTTCTGGAGTTTCGAAAAATACTAATTACTATCTCCTCTTCTTCTGCATGACATTTAATACATAAAATGGTCAGATTACAAGACAAATATTAGGTTACAATGAAGACTGAACCTGATAAAGCTCCATTTTCTACAGCAATTCAAGCAGATAATACATAGCTCTTGAATTTTAAACCTAAGTATTGAGTGCACCGGTGGCCTTCCCCCCCACACGCCCCTTCTCCTTACTTCCTTGCCTCCCTTCCCTCTTTCCCCAACAAGCACGACTTGCCCTTCTATCTCTCTCTGCTCTGAATCTCCTCTCTTTCTTTCCGTTTGTGGAGATGGAAGCATAACCTTTTAAGAAGTGCTTTATGTGCTACACTCTCTCTAAACTTTCATCTGCCTGGCCAGCCTCCTTGCATGAAATATAAGCTAGAAAATGAAGATGTGTGAGCGAGACAGAGGACAGCATCCTGCACTGCCCTGTACAGTCCGTCCTTCCAGGCTTCACCAGCAGCAGAGAGCAAGGCTCCATTTTTCTGAGCACTTCCTCATTACCCACATTCTCCATAGAGAAATCGGCAGGAGCTTCCCCAAGACTCCAAATCATAAAGTAGGTGTAAGGACATGGTCCACTGAGCTCCCTCCTGCACGGTGGCTGCCCACGTGCTGTGCGGTTCTTTTCCTGCATTTAATAAAACTTTGCTACTGTTTAAAAAAAAAAAAGGTGTAAGAACGTATGTTAAGTTCCGGGTTGGTTAATATTTTCACCATTAGAGAAACAGGAGACGTTTGCCATTATAAGTGAGTGTGTTATCTGGCTATTCGCCATTCTTCAGGTGCCTTTGGACGCTGAGCAGTATTCCATTTCCAGACAGAATCAGAAACATGAAGATTAACCATTGCTCGAGACAGGGAGGATGATAAAGGATCCCAGAAAGGAGCAGACGAAAAAAATCAATCCAAACGAACTGGCGGAGGCGGTCACGGTGGAACCCGCGAGGCGATATAAGTCACTCACCTGGAGCACGACGGTGAGCGCCGCTGAGGCTGTCGGGGGTCAGCAGACCGCCAGAGGTGAAGGAGGCCAGGGGTGCAACCCTGCAAGGGGACCCCGGTGAGGCGCAGCCCCGACCAGGCCGCCCGAGAGGACGCGAGGCTGGCACCGAGTCTGCCCGGTGGTGCTGGCTGCCCACCGGAAGAGGTCGGCCAGCACTCCGGATCCGCGACCTCACGCCGGCCCAGGACGAGGCCCGAGCCCTGAAGGCTCCACGGTGCACACAGACGGGCGTCCACAGCCCACAGCTAAGCGGACCCGAACTCCTGAAACGGGACCACTTCTGTGTTAACCCTCCTCGGGTCACCTAAATAAAAGAAAGAAACATTGAGATATCGGGGTCTATAAAATACGATAGCCCCCCCCCATAGAGCGCATATAGAAAAAGATGCACTGCACCAAATTAAAGCTTCTGGCAGTGTGCATGAACTCAGTTTCTCTTGTTCTTAGTTTCTGTATTTTCACATTGAATAAATTCACAGCTTTTTAAACAAATTCGTATCGGGCTGGGAATTTAGCTCAGTGGTTCGGCGCCTTCGCAAGCGCAAGGTCCCAAGTTCGATCCCCGGTACAAAAAAAGAAAGAAAAAGAAAGGAAGGAAGGAAGGAAAGAAGGAAGGAAGGAAGGAAGGAAGGAAGGAAGGAAAGAAAGAAAGAAAGAAAGAAAGAAAGAAAGAAAGAAAGAAAGAAAGAAAGAAAAGCTTAAACAAATTAATATCAATTAATACATTGGTAGCTGAAAACATCCAAACTGGGAGTGGGGGCCCTTGGCCACGTGGCCGCGTTGCCCACAGCAGGGCCCTGCAGGAAGGTGGGGGGAGCAGGACACCGAGGCTGGGCCGATTCGGCGTCCGTCCAGTGACTGCTCGGGCCATGCGCTTACCCTGCAGAGAACACAGGCACTAACTCTGGGGACACAGAAGCCACTGAGTGGCCCCCGCTCAGTTTTCTGAGAAGAAGCCATGGTCAGTCTGGACAGCGCCCACCACACGCGCCTTCCAGATCTGCCTGTGTCTCACCGTCAAGACCGCAGCTCCACCGAGATCCCGAAATCCTGCCGCACCTGAAACGGCACCGGAACTGCCGATGGCTGCGAACTGCCACATAAAATAAACCATAAAAAATTGTTAATCTTTCAGTATTTAAAAAAATAAAACATCTAAACTACAACCTCGATACTTACAAAGAATCGAAGATGTAAAAATTAGAATAGTTTCTATGTACATGAATAATGCCTTACACAAATAAGCACTATTTTTCCACATTCCCTCATATTTTAGCCTAGTGTTACATTTTCAACATTTTGCGTTGTCTTTGTGTGCTTGTGTGTGTGTGTGTGTGTGTGTGTGTATTTTGAGACATGGTTTCCCTATGTAGACCAGACTGGCCTCAAACTCACAGTGATCCCCCTGCCTCAGCCTCCTGAGTGTGGGATTACAGGCACGTGCTTCCACCTGGTTGCATTTTTAACTCTCGAACTAAACGTAAGGTTGGCTTTTCTGCTACAAACTGATTTGTTATGAGCAGCACTGGAGACCTGACATACAACAAGCCCGGTGTAGATCTGGGACTGGCCCTGTTTAGATGTCAAGGGACCTCCCAGCAGCCACTGTGGCCACAGTGGACCCCCAGGGAGTGGGAAAGACTGTCCACCCCCGCCAGTCCCGGGGAGAGGACTGGAAGCAGTGGGGCGTGGGCAGTCAGGGTAGAGTCTGGGAGGCCCAGAATTTACAGCCTGGGAGTTCTCTTTACATAAAGAAATTTTTTAAATTATAAAAGGAACATTTAATTCAAATGAAAAAACATATCAAATTATACATTTTTTTAAAATTAAAAATGTCTATAAATGCCAGGGATTTAGCTCAGTGGTTCTGCCTCCTGCCTCACAAGTGCAAGGTACCGAGTTCGATCTCCAGTACCAAAAAAAAGTCTATAAAGACATTACAAAAAATCCAGAAAAATCACAAATATTTTTATTAATTAACTTCCTGGCACATCTCTATTATATTTTTTCTTGTTTTCTTTTTTTTTTGGCTGCACAATCTTTGCCTGTTCACATGACAATTCTGTAACAGTTCATTTAAAATGTAATTTACTTTTTCTTACGGCTTATGTGATTGTATTTTTCCTTATTAGTATTTTTTTTAAACTTTCTTTCAGTATCATTATTTGTTATCAGTGAAGTCATACAAATTTTCAGGGATATTGACAAATAATAATTAATATATATTACATTCCTAATGTGACTCTATTTCCTATGTGGGGAGATAGGGCATTCGCAGATATGTAACACCATACACTACCTTTGAGGAAATGCAGATCTGACAGATATGACACATCAAAATCTATATACATTCAGTTTCTGCTTTAAAAGAACTGATAGATTAGAAAATAACAAGGTCTAGATCCTGGCATTAATCACATATGAGAATAAAGGTGGCTACAATCATTTAGAAAACAGTTTGGTTGAACATTCATATGAGGTTGCTTGAGGAGTTTGCTTACCAAACTGTAGCATCCGTTGTTTCTTCTTAGATATGAGGCGATTTAACATGTTCCGCTGTTGTGTGGTGACAGACTACAGCACACGATGATCAAATTTACAGACAACAGCAAATTGGAGTAAGTAGTTATTACTTTGGAGGACTGGAGTAGAATTATAAATGACCTTGTAAAGCTGGAAAATAACTCATACAAGCAGACTGATAAGCAATTGTACAGAGAAATGTTAGAGATTTTTTTTAACTACACAAACAAAACAGTACATTCTTGCACAAATTGTTTTTTAAATGCAGAAACCACTATCCATCAAACTGAATGCACATCAGCAAGTATAGCAATTATGTGAAATCTTCACTTTCAAGAAAGTTTAACAACAGTATAATTGGAAGGTAACAGAAAATCATAAAGTTCCTACTACATAGGTTGGGAGAAAGTGGTTTTCTGATGACATTTGATGCAGAGCTTCTGTATCTGATAGATTTCTCAGATTAATTGAACAAATAAAACAGGGACCATCACTAAATACACACACACATCCACATGCTTCTCAAAAATTGGGCTCTGTTTAAGTCAATGTAACCAATACTTATAAACATTTATGCATAAGGGTGCACCAACTACTTTAGGCAAAAAGATACATAGGGCATGGTTCCTGTTGCCAAAGTAGGATTTAAAAGTATTAAAAACAGTAATATCATTCCTTAATTGAATGCCAAATGAAGTTCATTTATTCCACAACTAAATTTAATGGCATTTGTTAATTGTATCTGAGTCATGATTTCTTAAAAAGTGTTAATAATATTAGTCAGCTTTCCATCACTGTGACAAAATACCTAATATAACAACGAAAAGGAAGACAGATATATTTTGGTTCATGGTTGCAGAAGCTTCAGTCCATGGTCAAGCAGAAACCTCATGGCAGAAGCACATGGTAATGTAGTTCACCTCACAGCAGCCATGAAGCAGAGAGGGAGGGAGACAGGGAGACAGGAGTCAGGAAGAAGATAAAATAATACCCCAGCGTCCTGTTACTTGATTCCAGGAGGTGAGATGAGAACCAAAAAACCATCTATACTGCCTCAGTTACTTTTCTCTCATTGCTGAGACAAAATATCCAACACCAAAAATTAAAGGAGGAAAGGTTTATTTAGCTCATACTTTGCAGAGGTTTCAGTCCACAATGCACTGCTGCAAGGCAGGGTGGCAGGGTGGCATGGCAGACAGGCGTCACAGAGAAGAAACAGTTCATGGCAGGGAGAAGATAGCAAAAACAGTAAGGGACCTTAACAGTGTCTTCCTGCCCCTTTTATCTTATCCAGACTACTTAGGGTGGGCGGCACTCATGCCCTTAATCCTAGTGCCCTTGAATTTAGCACTGCACCATGAATCAATTCCAGTGTTACACACTGCAGATCCAGCCATCTTTGAAAAAGCCCCACCTATGTTTGCATGAGCCACTGGGGGGACATCTAGACATAAGCTATAACATTCTACCCCTGAACTCCCGAAGACTCCTGCTCATCCCTTTATGCAAAAGGCATGTAGTCCATCTCCAAGCATTGCCAAAGTCTTAACAGTTTCAGCATTGCTGAAAAGTCCAAGTCCAAAGTCTCTGAGATTTAAATTAACTGCAAGCACTTGTATAAATGAAAAGAAAGTTAAACACTTCCAACATTCAATGGCACAAGATAAACATTTCCATTTCAAAAGTTACAAATGAGAATATAAAGGAATGGGGCCCAAGCAAGACCAAACTCCAGCAGCAAACATAAAATCCCACACTTCCACTTCCAGAATCCCTGGCAATCTGTGGCAAGTTATGAACTTCAAAGGGCTTGGATGGCTCCACCCCTATAGCACTTCTGGTGCTTGTAGCTCCTATAGCTTCTCTCTTGGTCTGGCTCTGCTCCCTCCTTGCAGTTTTCCTCAGATGCTCCATGTTCCTGGCTTCTCCAAACTTTTAGGGTCTCCACTGCACCTTCAACTTCACACTCACAGCTTCACACACTGCCTTCTCAGGGGCACACTGCCTGACCTCCCAGGCTTTCTTCTGAAATCTGGGTGGAAGCCTTCCTGACCCCACAACTCCTGCAATCTGCATGGGCCTAAAACCAGCAGCGCATGAATGATGCTAAGGTCAGCTGCCAGCTGGAGCAGAGGCCAGGCTTCCTTCTCTCTTGGCTGTAGAAGTTGAATATCTATGAACCAAATCCTGAGGAACAACTTCCCTAGGCTTCTGCCATTCTGGAACATGGTGCTCTGGGGCTCTGTTCTCAAAGCAAAGTCTTTTACTTTTGCAATTTTGAGGCTGCAAAGGGTGGAGTCCTGCTGCTTCTTATGATGCCCTCAGGCCATCTTTTCTATGCTCCTGTTCTTTCTCAGCAATCAAATCTCCTCTGCTCTATCTTTGCAGTTCACAGCTTTACCGGTGCTTCCTTTCTGGCCAAACTAAAAATAGTTTAAATCTTCTGCTTGCCTCTTTGCCCTTGATTCTCAACATAGATCTGACTAAAAGCTCCCAGCAGCAGCCATGCCACAACTACAACATTAGACTGCCTTGATATTTCTTCTGCCAGATTAATTAGTCCATCACCCTTAACCTCAGCCTCCGGCAACATCTCTGGACATGAGCAAAATGCAGACAAACTTTATGCCAAGGCATAACACACATTGTCTGGAGTCCAACAGCCAATGTAGCCCTTCCCAGCAGAAACTTCCTGAGGCTGGTCTTTACTGGCAGGATTTCAATCAGCATTCTGGTCTTCTGAACTCTGACCAGAATCTCCTATCAAGTACTGCCTGAGGCATTCCAGCTCAACTTTTTCAGTTGGCATCTCTGAACACTTCCTAACTCTTCCCCAAGCCATTCCCAAAGGCTGCTGAACCACAAGGTCAGGTAAAGTCACAGCAACAACCCCACTCCTGGTACCCAAAACCTCTACAAACTGTGACCTAAAGAAACCTTTCCTCCTTTAACTTTGGGTGTTGGGTATTTTGTCAAAGCAATGAGAGAAGAGTAACTAAAACAAATACTAAATTATTTTGGTGGGAAACAGTAGTAAGTCCCAAGGCAATTAACACCAAGTTCTAGCTTGCTCATAGAGTACCAAAGGACAAGGACTGGGAGGGAAAAAAAACCGAGTCAAAATGCAGTGAGTACCAAGTTTGATGAGTTTCAAAACTGTTGAAGACCAAAGTGTGCCTGTATAGTTCCCAGGTCATGCCTCCAGGCCTACACCCTTTAACCAGGCCCACCCATATCCTGCCAGTACCTCCCAGTAATGCCACCAAATTACAGTCTTGTCAATGGGTTCATCCACTGATGAAGTTAGAACCCTCACAATCCACATTCCAAAGCCTCACCGTTGAACACATGAGACTTTAGAGGAACATCTTAGAGCTAAAGCATAAAATCCAATAAGTGGAACGTTCAGACAAATAAGTATATAATATTTATAAAGATTACTGTAATACCCAGGATGATATCAGAAGCATCCTTACAATAGCTTTGATGAAGAACCGGGCATTTAGCTCAGTGGTTCTGCCACCTGCCTTGAAAGTGCAAGGTCCTGAGTTCAATCCCTGGTACCAAAAAAAAAACAAACAAAATAAAACAAAAAACAATAGCTTTGGTGAGTTAGGCACAATAATACTACTTTCGGTTGTTTGTTTGCTTGTGGGGTTTTTTTGTTTTTTGGTTTTTGGTTTTTTTGGTACCAGGGATCGAACTTGGGTCCTTGCGCTTTCAAGGCAGATGGCAGAACCACTGAGCTAAATCCCTGGCCTTGTTTGTTTGTTTTTGAGACAAGGTCCCACTTCGTAGCCCACTGGCCTCAAATTTGTGTCAATACTCCTGCCTCAGCCTTCCCAGAACTGGGATTATAGGCATGCACCACCATACCCGGCTTTTTCTGACAATTTTCACAAAGGCACAGGTTCTTACACCATCCTATATGTCCTCTTGATAATAACTGACATCATTCACAGAAATATAAAAAACAATCTTAATATTCATAGGGAAGCGGGGCTGGGGGTTTAACTCAGTGGTTTCACCACCTGCTGCGCAAGCGCAAGGACCCGAGTTCAATCCCCGGTACCAAAAAAAAAAAAAATATTCATAGGGAAGCACAAAACATCCCCAACAGCCAAAACACTCCTGAGCAAAAAGAACAGAGCTGGAGACATCATGCCATTGGATTCCAAAGTATACTGCAAAGGTAGAGTAAAAAAAAGAACACAGCACAACACTGCATGAAAACAGACACATGGGCCAACAGAACAGAACAACACCCTCAGAAGCAAACCCAAGGGGTCCCAGAGAATTGATTTCCACAGTTAGCAGGTGCGCTCCTGGAGAAAGATGGTCTCCTCAATAGAAAGCATTAGGAAAACCAGACATCCACACGAAGAGGGTTGATGTTAGCTTGTGTCTGATGTCTCACACAAAATCAACTAAAATGGATGGAAAACTGAACCCAGAGCTGTAAAGCTACCGGAAGGAAGTGAGGGAAAGTTCAGTACCATGGGCAAAGACATTTTTGGATGTGCAAAGGCATCAAAAAGAAAAAGGCAAATATCTGAGGATTACATCAAACAAAAACTTTTGCTCGGCAAAAGAAACAAAAGAGTAAAGGAACAAACTGAGGACCAGGAGAAGCTGTTTACGAGCCACATGTCTAAGAGGCGATCGATACCCACAGCATAAAGGGACTCAGACAGCTCCATTGCACGAAACAACTGAAGTTAAATGCAGCAGCAGACCTGAATGGGGCCCTCTTAAAAGATGGTGTGCGAGTGGCCGATGGGCATATTTTCAAATGTTCACCATCACTAACATCAGAGAAATGCATCTTAAACCAGAATGAAATGTCACCTCACATCTGTTAGAATGTTTACTATTGAAAAGACAAAAGAGCTGGCATGGTGGTGCACACCTGTAATCCCAGCTACTTGGGAGCCTGAGGCAGGAGGATGGCAAATTTAAACCCAGCCTGGGCAGGTTAGCAACGTAGTGAGAGCCTGTCTCAAAATGAAAAAACAGAAACAGCTGGGAATGGAGCTCAGTGTGAATGCCCTAGGTTCAATCATTAATATAGAAGAAGAAAAAGAGGGAGGAGGAGGGGAAGGAAGAGGAGAAGGAGAGAAGGGGAGGAGTGGAAGAATAAATAATTGCAT